GACACGACACTGACCCTGACACGTCAACACTAAAAAAAAATTAAATGTAATCATGTGTCAATGTCGTGTCGGTAATCTCATAGGTCTCAGTGCTTAATATAATTATCATTATCATAAACCACAATCCAGAATCAGAAACTATCATGAAAATTTGTAAACCTAAAACAAACAAATGATAGAATTGCAACAATACCTCACCAAATCTAGATCCACAAGCATCTCTATCACCACAAAAAACCCAAGAATTGCACAAACAACGTTGTCCACCCCCCTTACACATATTCTTACAAGCCCTACAACAATCCTCAGAAGAATTCACCCTAAAATCATTCCCCCATGTCACCGCTTCACCCCATAGCTCCAAATGCTCAACCCCTCTACAACATTTTCCTTCTTCCTCACTCAACAAATCCTCAACATCACTCTTTTCAACAAAAACCTCATCCTGCATTGTTACTACCGACGCAACATTCTCCCTAAAGACCAATGTAAGAAAAAGGGATACCGCGGAAAAGGAGATTGCGCCTATGAGAAAGAAAATGAGAAGCGTGAATTTGCCGAAATCTGAGTCGTTATAGCGACGACCCATTTTCATTTTCAGATTATGAGTAATGGTGTCCGCGAAGGACCATGTGATGAGAAGAACAAGGTTTGTGACTTTTTCATGTTTTGTTTTTTTTTTCTTGTTTAAGATGAAGTTGCAACAAAACGCTAAAAGTAATGCTTTATCGTCACCATGAATGTCAATTTTCGACACGTTTCATATTTTCCTTTTTGTTTTTTCCTTTGGCTTTTTTTGCTTTGTTTATGATATTTTTTCATTAATTTCTATTTTTTTACTCAAAGAACTTTTCATTAATTTTTAATTCTACATTTCTTTTTATTTTTTTTCAAATTTCTATATCTTCATTTAGTATTTAGTTGTAATTGATGTAATTATGGTACGATTTGGATTGATTTGGAGGTGAAAACTCATTTGATTTAAAACTATATATATATATATATATATATATATATATATATATATATATATATATATATATATATATATATATATATATATATATATATATATATATATATATATATATATATATATATATATATATATATATATATATATATATATATATATATGATTGATATAGTCTTTTATTTTCTTTTTTTTAATGGTGTCTAAAGTTTATTGAATTTTATTGAGAGTAATCTTACATACTTATGTGTGGACCTATTGTTCTTTGGTAATAAAGTTCTCTACAAATCATATTCCTACTCTAATTTGTGTCTTTCCTCTATTGGTGTTATTTATTGTCATTTTTATCACTTTTCGACCACGTCTATAATTTATATTGTCACTCTTACCATTTACTAAGATTTTTCTCTTTTAGATAGGTTTTGCTTTTGTTACCTTAGATTTTTGATCTAGATATAAATGATAAGTAAGATAAATATATATGCTATGAAAAAAAATTGAAATCGAACATGATAAATTAGAACCATTAGTTGATTTGACTTGGGCGTGTCGAAAGGCATACATATATTGTTGTTGGTCGAAGTGTGTTGTCGAAGGTCAAAGGAGTGTGTTTTTGAACTTAGTAAATTTTTAAGTGTTTTAGTCATTTATTTTTTCTAATTGAAAGAGCGAAAATTAGATTAGATCAGGTGGTTACTCGAAGACACGTGGAGGTTCATCGAAGACAGCGACTCCATGAAAGCAAAAAGTGTCGTGATATGTTTAGTCGACTGTTGTAGGTAGTTATTTTAGACTAGTATATAAGGGACGCTTGCTTATGTTGTAAGGGTCCACAATTGTACTCAACTTTTTACATAATCAAAGTATTTGTGTGTTGAGAAACGAGTGAGAAAATGTACGCATGCGTTTCACATTTAACTTCAAGCATTTTACATTTAACTTTTTTATTTTAATTACATTTGATTCCTATCATTTTACTTTCAGTCTACATTTCGATTTCAGTTATTTTGTCTTCAAAAATCTTTTGCGTCCTAAGTTTAGCCAAGTTTAAATTGTTATCTTCCAAGCATTATGTTTCGATTTTCATAGTAACATGATGTTTAAAGATTATAATTCGCACAATAATGCTCCGGGATATTTTCGAGTTTAATCAATTAAGTATTAATAGAAACTTGTTTTGTTTGCCAAATTTCTAAATAAACAAATTGGCATTGCCCAGTGGGACCCTTTTTGCGTGAATTTTTACTTTCTATTATGAAAATTATTATTACAAAGTTCTTCATTTCATCAACTTTTCATTGTATGTGTGTGCATGAGGTAGCAATTTCCAGAAACAACAATGGAAAACAACTTTCTAATAGCACTGAGGTAGGCACGATCATTGCAACGTTGACTAAGTCGATCCCTTCGACCGCTAGCATGACGGTCATACCGTCCACAACGGTTGCGCCAACAGTTATACCAGAAGGAACTGTTTTTTCTCCTTTAGTAACCTAGAGTCACCCAATGACTCCTAGACCAATTATGGCGCCATAACTCAGGTCTTTCGCCAAAAGTTTTACAATGTCCATGTCAAGGTGCGAACAACATTTTGAAATGTCAACATCAATGATGGCAAGCTTGCATAGTGATATGTCCTTTGTTGAAAATGATGCGAACACATATTCGCCAATCGTGTCATCTGGCTCGACCATAGGTAACCAGGTCGAACTATGCCACCTCAGTTGGGGATGAAATTTGGTTCCCAAGCAATATCAACGTTTACAACGAATTCCATAGTAGCTTTGAGGCAACAAATGGATGAGAGTAATCATGATATGGTTAATACTTTTTCCCAACAAATGGGTTTTATATTCAGCCAATCGATTCAAAACATGAATCAGAGTTACCAACAGCGGACAAATCAAATGAATTGAACTGTTGATTTTTTTTGTGCTCCATCAGCGCAAGTTCAACCCATTGTACAACCCCAAGTCGCTAGGCAAGTTTGAAATGAAGGAGTAGTATTAAAGAAAAATACAGTAAACCAGGGGCAACAATTTGTGCCCCAGGCAGTCGAACAAGAGGTACCTAGAAGGGAAGTGTGTCCAACGGTTATAGTGGTTAATCGAAAGCATGACGCTGATCACGTTGTTCACCAAGTTCGACAAAGGAATCTTTTGGGATAAAATAATCTGGCACAAAATGACATGAACATGGGCTTGCAAAGGCCAAATTACACGTCCCCTCTATTAGAATATGTGTTGCAGACTAAATTGTCAAGGAGGTGGGAAGTCTCTAAGTTCCCCAAATTTGATGGTGATACTAACGAGTCTACTGTCGAGCATATTGTCTGATATTTGACGGAGGTGGGAGACATAACAAATATTGAGAACTTGAGGATGAGATATTTTCCTAGTTCTCTCACGAAAAATGCCTTTACGTGGTTTACAACTCTCCCTACTCATTCCATCAATGATTAGGCTCGATTGGAGAGGTTGTTCCATGAGCAATTTTACATAGGGCAATCTAAGATCAGTTTGAAGAAATTATCGAGTGTGAAGTGAAAGTTCACTGAATTGATCGGTGATTACTTAAATTGATTTCGATTATTGAAAACGAAGTGTTTTACTCAAGTATCGGAACATGAACTAGTCGAAATGACCGTTGAAGGTTAGATTATTCTATCAAAAAAATTAGATATAATATTTGAGAGATATTGTGCAGCTAACGGATAGAGTTCGACAAATCAAAAAATTAAAGGCTGAAAAAACCAAATGAACAAGATAAGAAAGGGCGTGTAACCTATTGTCACACATGTTTAATTAATCCTTATAAAAAAAAACACCATTTTAATATCTAAAAATGAATTTAATTTTTATATATTGTCAATTACTTAAAATTATCAAATAACTAAAAACACTTTGAATTGTATCGTGATTAGTTTTAAAATCATACATATAAATAATTGTGACGCGCTTACACTATTTTTACGTGGCCATTTAAAAAAACTAAACTAAAAATAAAATAGTATTTCGATTTTTTAATGACATTAATCATTTTTATTCTAATTTTACCCAAAAATAATATTACTTGCATCATTTCTAAAATATATTTTTTGACATAATAAAGTATTATATTCAATTATACATTAATGTTAATAGTTATTATATTTTTTTACATTAATGTAAATAATCAATAAAAATAAATTTTAGTTTTATAAAATCTCAACATTTTTTCATTTAATTATAAATTGTGTAAAAAGAACCACGCTTATTTCCTTTAACTCAACCTGAAGGCTGTTTTCATAATATAAAATATTGATGATGATATTTTATTTATATATTTTAATGTCAATTTTTAAACCAAAAAAAATATCTTCCATATATTTTATCAGCTTTACTATTTAATACAAGACAAATCAAACGTATATTTGTCTAAAGAAAGAGTGAAAATATAAAGTGCTGGCTAGGTAGCACTTTCCATTGATACCACGGTAGGTAGCTCAAAAAAGAAACTAATCCAAAATAACCACAAAAAAGAAACTAGTATATTTCATTTAATAAATGAACTTTTTTGACAGATGAAAATAGTCCAAAATCCCTGCAACTATCATTCACATTACTCCCCCACACGAGAGTCTAACAAATCTAGGTTTAACTACACATCACGTGCTTGGCATTACTCCTCTAGCAGTTCAAATTTAAGAACCTCTGCTGTCCGTCCTGTGAAGAAACAAGATATCGTGGATCCAAATAATCCTTGATTCATGAAAAAATCCCAATCATCCTATATAACTTTAGCAAAACTCCTTTCCACCAAAATGTTTGGCATCAGGGGGGCTATAAGCTTCAATAGGCGCATCCAACAGCAGCCTCTGTTACATTTAAGATACGTTCAGACAAATTCACTGGCGACCGTATGAGTAATCTTTGCCTTCACCCCATAGAAAGAAACAGAGACAGGAAAGAAAGAAATTTGCGTACTGTGTTACCGCTTGTATGGAATAAAATACGACAGGGAGTTATTATTAGGTAGAAGACTTACATCAATAATAAGACCTAGATCCGCCGCCACTACCCATATAACTGCTACTACCATTCATACCCCTGCTAGAATACATGGACGAATACGAGCTGCCGCCAGCCTAAAGCACCAGCAGAATAAAATATAAGAATGTCACATATATATATATAAACACTACTTCCAACTGAGAAAGGACAGTAACATTACATCACTTCCACGAGATATGTAATCCCCACCATAACTTGATGAGTAGATACCCCCACTACCACCAATAGAACCTGAGATGCAAAATAAAAGAAAGATGTAAAGACTAAACAACAAAATTTGATCTTCAAAACAACATATCAGATTATTTGCAATAATATTCACCTCTACCATAACTCATGTCCTGTCGGCTGCTATACGCCTCATGTGTGTTTTGAATAGAACTAGAACTTCTACTGCCACTATTATATCCCAAACTAGATCTTCCAAGCCTACCAATCAGAATGCGGGGAATAAGTTAGCAAAAGGATAACAAGAGTGGGTTCAGGGGAATGATGCATGAACGTTGTTTGGAGGAAACTGTTGGACCTCTCATTAACTTATTAAGGAAAACTGACTGTTCAGTTTTACAACAGTTATTATATTATTAGGAACATTTTAGAGTAGTTATTATATTATTAGTAGTTATGTTTTATTAATTATGTGGGTTGTGTTTAGAATAAATAGAGAAAGATAGGAGAGACTTCACTATCAGGGAATTATTGAGTGGTTAGTGGGAGAGGCCCAACTCTCGAACATTTGGAGCATAATTATCAAATACCAGAAATTGTCCCAATTTTATTTTGTAAAGAATCAGTTTCTATTAGAAACAAACCTATCACCATAAGCCTCTCTATATTGTGAAACACTGCCTCCATAGTCATAGTCTAATCGAGATCTTGATTGGCGAGCATCAGCATACTGTGGAGAAATATCATCCTGTTGAGAAATAAACAGAATTTCATTTGCTAAAATCAAACTAAAATAAATAAATGATACTGCTAAAATGAATGTTTAAAATAGTACTTACTCTGGCAGCATAAGGACGTTTTGAGCCAGATAGTGTGTCATAATCATGTGGGCGCCCTTCACGATAGCTTAGATGGGGAGGAGGAGGAGACCTTTCAAGTCTTTGATCAAAGCTGTCATCTAGATGACCCCTCCTTGGTGCAGTACGAGACGCATTCCTATGCAGATCAGAGTAGCCAGAGTCACGGGCTGGATAATCTCTATAAGATGAATGTCTTGGAGAGGCCGCCTGAGAGCCATAATCTGCAGGAACTCTACTTCTTGGAGGTGGCAGATCCACAGGTCGACCATAATCTTTCTTCATGCTACTTTTTGGATATGCAGCTGATAACAAGACAGTATTATAATATATTATCATAAACAAAGACTAATAACAGAAACTGTTAGGGTAAAATGTAACTCATACCGGTCAATCTCTCATGGGATCTAGCTGGAGGAGTGGCTGGCCTAGCTCTCACTGGCACTGATGAGACAGGACGTCTATTTCTCGCACTTGAAGGTCTAACTGGTGAGATACTATTTCCAGGTCTTCTCGTCACACCAGCAGATCGACTTGGTGGTCCAAGTCGACTCTGAAGTGCAGGTCGACTTGGTGGTCCAAGTCGACTCTGTAGTGAAGGTCGACTTGGTGGTCCAAGGCGGCTCCGTAGTGCAAGTCGACTCCGCAGTGAAGGTCGACTCCGTGAAGGCCTTGCCGACCTTCGAAACTTGCGGCCAGAAAGATCAGTATGAGTAAAATGTTTTCCACGAACTTTCTGAAAAGGCCTCGACAACCTAGCCCTAACTTTTGCCTGAAAGAAGCTAGAAGTGTTATAGAAAGCTACATTTAGCTGTTGCGCATGTACATCAAATTTAAAAGCCAAACAGACCTTTTTCTTGCCTTTGCCTAACCCTGAACCGGTAATGCTCTCAGCACATTCAGCAGCAGCAGCATGCGTAGCAAACGTAACAAATCCATAATTCTTCCTGCGAGCAGCTGGCCTGTTCTTAGCAAGCTCAACTTTTTCAACCTCCCCATATTTCTTAAGAAGACCTCGGACATAATCTTCATCCCATGAAGGAGGCAGTAAATCAATAAATACAGTTTTAACCTGCAATTTAGATGCATTTGATCAGCTACAGCAAAAACAAATTGCACAACTTGACCAATCTACGAAGCAACAACACTCTTAGGTTTAGGCGTGTCCATGTGTAACAGACAGCCTCACTCATACAACAACAACACGTATCATACACCTCACATAAGTGTCCCTCAATTTTTTTCCTCTTTGAGATACCTCTGACAGTTACCGTGAGCATATTTTTTTCTAAGAAAATCAGAAACAAAAAAAAGGCTTTTAAAAGTACAATTATATTATTTTCATTAGAGATTAGAAAGTTTCCGCATATGCATGTCATCCCATATACACATGTCTTCCTTCATCTTCTCCGTACTTCATCCTATTTCAGATGCATGTCTTCCTTCATCTTCTCCGTACTTCATCCTATTTCAGATGCATGTCTTCCTTCATCTTCTCCGTACTTCATCCTATTTCGGACAGTATCCTATATTTTGCAGATTAGGAGAGTGTATGTCTGTATGTGTTGTGCTCGTGAATCATAGCGATCAATAAACTTATGTTATACTTAACTACTTTAGTAAAATTAAAAAATAATGTCCATGGCAAGGATGGAATTCAATCTTGACCCAACATTAAAACTGCTTAGGTTTCATCTTGAGATGCTTGTCCAAATCCAGAGTAAACTAGGTTAAATTTGTAGAAATTTATTAAATCAATCAATCTTAAAAGTGAACTCACTGTGTTGAATTTAATAAGTAATCAGTAGAAAAATAAACTCATAATATCACACCCAAAATGAAGACTGCCATAAAAATGAACCACAACTGAGGTTTGAAGCCTACATAGATGTGTACCAATGGTCCAATTTCCAAATGCTTGAATGAGATCAAAGAACCATGTTTTGCAGGTTCTATACATCTGCCCTTGACCAAAGCAAGGAAATGAGATCCAGAAATATACCTGTGCCATAATATCATCTTCCAGGTCATCAAAGGAGTCTGCAAAGGAAACCTCAGCAGGCTTACCAACTCCAAAAACAACGTCTGTCTTCTGCAATCTCTTATAGGCTTCCTTAGCATCTGAATGTGATGAAAATTCCAAAAGCGCAAATCCACAATTTGTTCCCTCATTGTTACCATCTTCTACTAAAGTCAAATCCTTGAAATTTTCAACTTCATAATGTTTCAATTTCTCCTTTAACTGGCATGAGAAGTTTCATTAACAGTTAGAGACAAGGGCTTAGAAGGTGGCAAGAAATAGACCCCAAAAAAAGACTTACAGCTTCCTTTTTCCATGTCTTGCAAATGTTATTTAAATATAGAGTATCACTGTCCGGACATGGAGTGATACCGCATTGTTTGCCATTAATCTGAAATTGTAGTCATGAAAACATATGATTTAATAGACTACAAATTGTAAATCTGCTCTAACCATGAGAAGATCAAAGATTACCACTGGATTTTTTAGCTCTGCCAATGCTTTTTTCACTTGTTCAACAGTTTTGAAACGCAATGATGCAAATCCCTTGTTCCTTTTAGTCTGAGGATTCATCATTAGCCTAGCTTCAGTAATCTCCCCAACTTTACCGAAAATCTTCCTCAGATCATGCTCTGTTGCATTCTTGTCTAGGCCCCCAACAAATAGTTCAAATTCCTTCTGCTTCTGCTTCTGCCTTTCCTTTCTAACTTCACCTTGCTCCTCTTCCTCCACGTCAGCAAGATGCTCATGCTCGTTCTCCATACCGGCATGATCATCATCATTACCAGCAGCAGCAAGATCATTACCAGCAGCAGAAGCGTCATCATCATCACCCTCAACTTCTTCATAAACATATTCAACTTCTTCATCAACATATTCAACTTCTTCATCGCCAGTATCACCCTCTTCTTCCTCCACAATCTCTTCAAGTTCTTCATCCACTTCATCTCCGACCTCCTCAACATCATCCTGTTCATTTTCCCTCTCATCATAGTCATCACCGACATACTCGTCAGGATCAGACTCATGAGAATTATCCTCCAAATCTAAGAGTTCATCTTTTTCATATTCATCTATGGAGTCCTTAACCTCCTCCCCATTGTCAGCTACAAGATAAATATTTAAATCCATCTCGATCAAAACACTCAACTTTTCCAACATTATACTATTTACTAAATAAGGGTAACCCGTTTTCCATAATAAATCCAGTATCACATGATATAAAACACAAACACTAAATAGAGAAAGAAATAGAGCAAACTTAAAATAAATAAAAATAAAAAATAAAAGTAAACTTCATCATATAGCCCTCCTATATATGATAGCTGTTATCTCGGATGCCAAAATGTTAAGAGCACAAAAGAAATTCTTTCTAGTTTCTAAAAATTCCATAACTTCCAAACTGGACCATGGGCTGGTGGAATATGTCATGTACAGATTTCCATCATAACACCGTTCACTATCACCAGTAGTCTCCCAAAACAATCAATATTTATAAGGCAGTTAAAAAACTCATACCAATAGACAAGTTTTCATGACCTAAGTTCACTTGATAATCATTACTAAAATCTAAAAATTTAAATTTTGATAACCATTGTTTCACATAAAAGCTGCAAAAATCCGTCAACATAACTAAAAACAACGCATAGCAGTGAAAAAAAATCCACACAAAAAGAGGAAAGGGGACTTACTTTCTACCGTAGCCAAACCATTAGGCGCTGTCTCTGGAGCCAAATTGTTTGTTTCAACGGGATTCTCTTCCGCCACAACATCAGCAACGGAATTTTCTTCAAGATTCTTCACGGGTTCGGGTTCGGGTTCAGGTTCTTGCTTCTGATTCTGAATAGCGGTTTTTGAAGAGAGACTCGCTTTCTTCGCCGCAACCCCTCTTTTTACCACTTTCGGAGGCATTTTCACAGATTTTTTTCGCCCTAATCGAAGAAACAAGAGTACAAAACAAAAAATAGTATTATTCAGATTAGAAAACCCTAAAAAAAAATCTGAAATTGCAGAAGATGAAAGAGCACGAATCTTACACTATGGCCTTAAATAATGCAAACCTAATTCTGAATATTAAAAAAGATGAGGACAAAAAATAAAAATCAACAGAGAAAAGGGAGATTATATATATATATATATATGACCCCAGAGAGAGAGGCCCAAAACTTTAGGGGGAAAAATCTTTTTTTCACAATAAAAAAATATATATTAAATAAGTTTAGTATTTTTATTAAAGGATTTATTGGATGAAAATAGCATGTAACTAATAAACTAAGAGAAATAATTTATAAAAGACTGAATTTATAATATTTGACAAATAGAAGATTAATTTATTATAGATTGAGTTTATATCTATTTGACAAAATTAATGGTTGAATTAATTAATAAATATAAAATAATACATGTAAAAAAAATTAGCATTTAATCTTCTTAATTAAGATATTAAGAGTAAAATTAACATTAATTATAAATTCAAAGATTATTTAAAGTAGTTTATTAAAATAATTCTAATTACTATTTTTGGGGCAAAATGTCATAATAAATTGCTTTAAAAAATTACCAAGTAAAAAAGTTGTTATGAAACATATATATCTTATCAATTTATGAGTGGAAATAATTCAGACTGGTATTTTTTTTAAATAAGGTAGCAAACACCTTTTTAGAAGTACATTTAATTAAAAAAGTCATTCAATTTATTTGAAAAGTCTTTTTTATTTAAGTAAATAAATTCATTAAATTTTGTACTATGTTATATCATAAATTTATTATATTTTTGTGTAATTTAAACATATTTGTTTTGATTACAAGGTTAAAGAAAAGAAGAAAAAAAGAAAAGAAAATTACAATTTTTATGCATCATCAATGTCAAAGATTGTGGCTCAGCTTAGGAGAGGGAAGGGGTAACGTATAACATAATCAACTAACAACACTTCAAATATCAATTGCCCAAGATTACCTCAATGCCCTTTCCTTTCAAATTTTTTACACTACAACTTGAACAAAACGGTAAACAACTAATTGCCAATATTCTTCTCTTTGCAACCCCTCACCTTTTGCCATCTGTCAAGCTTTCTTTCCCTCCTCCCCCTCAAACTTTTGAACTTTGAGTTTTACCCATCAAACTTCTTGTAATCCCACTGTATTGTTCCCTCCTCCCCACAAACATCATCAAACTTCTGGTTCTGCTAACTTTTGGTTCGTTTCTTCACTTCTGGTTCTGCTAACTTCTGGTTCTGCTAGCTTCTGGTTCGTTTCTTCACTTTTTTGGGGGTTTATATTGCTTCTGTTTCTTCTGCTTTTGTTTACATTGGTTTATATTGCTTCTGCTTCTGCTTCTGGTTGACATTGTTGTTTTAACAGTTGTTTCTGGTTCGTTTCTTCACTTTTTTTGGGGTTTTCCTTTCTTCTGCTTCTGTTTATTGGTTTATATTGCTCCCGCTCCTTCTTCTGCTTCTGCTTCTGATTCATACAAACTCCTCTGGTTTGTTTCATGGTATTTTTTGTTGTTTTGCAAGTTGACATTGTGGTTTTAACAGTTGTTTCTGGTTCGTTTCAGTTGGTGTTGTTTTGCAAGTTGACATTGCAAGTTCATATTCATACATTGTAGGTTCTTTGGTTTACAATATAAAATATGCAGGTTATTTTCATGAAAACATGTTTTTGTTAATATATTGTTTTTGCTTACACAGAAATAATTTAAGCAGTTGTGAAGTTGTAAGCAACCATGTCAAGACCCCTAATACTCATCAAGGACTTGGAGAAAGGGAAACAGGTTTGGAAAATACTCATTAGAGTTGTTGATCTTTGGATTGTGAAGGAGAAAAGTGGACTGCAACATTTTGAAATGGTGATTCAAGATTCACAGGTAATTATTACATGCTTTGTTTCTATATTATTATTGTCCATTTCCTTGAATGTTTACCCATTTTGTAGGGTGATCAAATCCATGTCACAACTTGGAACCGTGAGTTTAAAGACTGGTCTGAACAGCTAAATGAACATGAGACTTATTGCCTTTACAATGGAGAGCCAGTGACTAATGATGGCACATTCAAAGTTTGCCCCCAACAAGTTGAAACTTGTCTTCAATGGAGGAATGACTGTTTCGAAATTGCGAATACTGGAAATATCGAAACACCAATTCAAGTTTAAGCCAATTGTCGACTTTCTCACTGGAAATTTCATCATTGATCTCTTATATTGTGAGATGTATTCATATTATACATATGTTATATATTGCTATTTGTCATACTAAATGGATATTGAATTAACCACATATGATACAGAAGAAAACATTGTCACTTTTTCTCATTCTCATATATTACAGATGTCGTCGGGGTTTTACAAGATGTTATGAAGACGCAAATGGGCGGTGGTGGTAAGAAATCATGTGCCAATATCACTCTAAGAGATGAAGCTGGTAATATTATTGACGTTGCTGTTGCACCCTAAAATTTGCCCAACCTTATTCCTTGGTTTATGTTTCATTATCATTAGCATTTGCATATAGAGTCATGTACATAGACTAACCATCTGCATAGCATAAGCATAGCAAGTCATTCAACAGGGGACCAATCATTATTCTCATCACTAGAAGCCTGTCAAGAGGTTATTATTCCAATTCAATCTCATTCAAGTCATCAGGAAAGAATTTGAAAGCAAAGAGTTCAGCAGATCAAGCCTTGAGTCCATCTCTTAGTTGAGGGTATCTGAGGGTCAACAAGAGGGTTGTGAGCTGTGAGTTGAAGGCATGGAGAGTATCTAGACATTATGAGAGACTTAGAAAGTCATTTGGAGAAGGAGACAAGTCATTGATGAGAGCACAAGAGCTATAGCTGAAGGCAGTCAGCTAGGGTTTCATCTGGGTCAACCCTAGGTCAACCCTAGGTCAATTGACTGATTTAAAGGGCATTCAAGTCTAGTGGAGAGATGTGGGGTTCATCATTGGACATATGAAGAAGGATATGTAGATATGCCAAGGAGAATTCAAGAGAAATCAAGGAAAAGAGGAGTTTCTAAATTAGGGTTTCTGTGTAAAATCCCCTAGTTTAGGTCAAATTTCCAAGCAAGATAAGTCAAAATGATAGCTTCAAATGGCTTCTTGGCCAACATAAAACTTGTAGAGGATCTCAATACCTTTAATTTGAGTGGTGGAAGACATCAAGGAGATTTATAGAACTCAAGTTATGGTCCTTGCAAGTTACAGGTCATCTGAGGTATCTGAAATTTTGTCTGTGAAAGTGACTTGACTTCCAAGCAATTTTTACCCCTCAAGGAGATTTCAAATGAATTCTTGGTCAACATAAGATTTGTTCCTCATTGTCTTAGCTTTCTAGAATGGTATAGCATACCTTCATATGATGTGTGGAACTCAACTTATGGTCTTGGCAAGCAAAGGGTATTTTGGGCATTTGTGAATTACAGGTCATTTTAGCTCATGTCCAAAACTCATACAAGGAGGCCTCAAATGGAAAAACTTACAACATCAAACTTGCTCCAAATGTGATTTTAAGTCTAGAAAGAAGGTCACAAATTGTTGGAAAAGCTCATAACATGGATTTGCATGATTGGTCAAAATTTGAACTAAAATGGCTTATAATTTGAATAAAGTCAAGATGAAAAATGGTTTGGGAGATTTCTAAGTCCAAATGGAGACTTCCAATATATGATTTTGAATGGAAAAGACATTCTAAAGACAATGGTTCAAGCACTTTTTTGAGTTTAGTGGAAGATTTCAAAGTTATCCTTGGTTGCTTGCATTTTAAGAAACATAGCCAAAATGAATCAAAGTTGGAAGGCAAGGGAATGTGTAAGAGGGATCTAGAATGTTCATGTGAGCTCTATATATTCATGAAATGAAGATTGATCAAGGGTTGGCTTCATTTTTCACCAAGAATTTCCCAAATTCTCTCATTCTTTCTCATTGTGTTTTCACTTCAATTCCTCAAATTCTTCACCAATCATCATCAAAATCAACTTCATTATACTGATTCATCATCATAGATCAGAATTCAACCAAGAACAAGGTGTGATCAATCCATTCTCGAGCACTTCCATCATCAACATCAAAATTGAAGTTTCAAGTGGATAGCACAATTCAAGCCAAGTTTCATTCAAGTGTTGCATACAGAATCGAGCATTGAGTTTGTAGATCAAGATCCAAGCCTCAAAAGCCTCAGATCCACAAGTATCATCATCATCCACAAGATTTCACACCAGGTGCACTTTCTCTGCCACAGCTTGAATTAGTTAGTTTAGCATGATTTTGTTAGTTTAGATATGATGTAGGATGTTAGTAGAACAATTAGGTTGAGTTTGGAGTGGTTTGGTGATGATTGTTAGCAGGTGTACCAAACTGTTAGGACCTAGAACTCTTAGGTTAGTGCATTATAATGTTAGGTTGTTAGCACAGGATGATCACCATTATGCATAGAGTAGATTAGTCTAGGTTTGATAGAGAATTGTGTTGGTGAGTTGCAGAGTGTTTCCATGGTGACCAGAACTTGTTGTTATCGGGTTGAGTGATCTAGTGAATTTCAGGTTGAGCCAAGACCATAGACGTGTAGAGGGAGAGATTCTGAACATTTTTCATGTTTATATCGTGATGTGTTGTGGACTGTAGAGTGAGAACAGATTGGTAGAAACTGGTGCGTGCATGAGGTTTCATGGTGAAACCCTAGTTCTCACAGATCCATTGGAGAAGACGAAATCGTGTGCGTCCATTTCATGTAGGACCTTTGACTTGGGAAGCCATCGTGTGGCTGAGATTTGATTCAGAATTTGGAGGGAGATTAGTTTGGTGCCCTAAACGCACCGTTTCATTAATTGAAACGGGCGGGCCTGAGTGAATGTTGATATCCCCACCCCCAGTTTTAAGCCCAACTTCAATTTGAACATGAATCTGTTTCTAT